AGTGATTAGGCTTGATTAGGGTGATGATCAGCTTCCTAATCAGCTGTTTCCCCCTTGATCGGGCTCCTGGGTTTCAGTTACTTTTACTTCTTCTTCTTCTTCTTGATTAATGAAAAGTTTATTTTTCTTTTTTGAATTTTTTTACAAAAAACAAAAAAGAACACGGTGTAGAAAGATTGTTTTTTTTTAACGAAAAAAAAAAGTTACTTGTCCTTTATTTATTTATTTATTGGATTCCGATATTGAATTTTTGTACTCGATGATTTCCGTAATCGACGACATAGAGATTACCGTGTCGATCGAATGACAAACCTTCGGGGCTATTCAGTTGATTCGATTGTCCTCCTTCACCGTTTCCACCAACAATGACACTTCCCTGTGTGCCTCCTTTGAGCCAACGCATGATTCGATCATTCCATGTATCAGTCACATAGACAGTGCCCAAATGATCGACAACAACTCCTCGAGGACTTGACAATTGTGTAAGACCACTTCCTTGTCTTTGACCACTAGCCACGACAATGCCTTGTTTTGCATCTTTCATCCATTTCATCACACGATTATTTCTCCAATCAGATACATAGACTGATTGATCTCGATCGACGAATACGTATCGTGGACCATTGAGTTGATCGAGACGATTTCCACTTCCATTGCCACCTGCAACCACTATTCCTTCCGATTCTCCTCTTCGATATCGTCTCACTTCAGCATTTCCATTGTCAACGACATAAAGAGATCCATTCTCGCCCATTGTTAAACCCCAACAAAATATGTTGGATATGATTGTTTCTCCACTTGTTCCATTTCGACGAGGCCATCGAACCACTCTTCTATTCGAACCATCGCATATGATGAGACTATCTGTCTCTTTGTCGACAATCACATCCCATGGGTTAGACAATTGATGAGTCCCACTTCCTTGTCCATTTCCACCGGCAACCACTTGACCACTCGTCGCACCCCATTTCCATTCCATAATACGATGATTGCCTTGATCAGCAACATATATTGTTTGTTCATCATCAACAAACAAACCCAATGGGTATGAGAGTTGATTGATTCCATTGCCATTTCCATTTCCTCCAACTACTGTAATTCCATTTTGCTGCCATCGAGCATTTGAATGAATATCGATGGCAGGTGCTCGGAGCGGAGGAATGACTGAAATCATTGAAAATTGAATTAATTCAGAGTTTTTCCTTGTAAATATTTTTTTGTTGAATTATGCTAAGGATCTATCTAGTAGAATAAGTGTCAGAATCTGCATTTCATCTTATTTCATTTTGAAAATGATTGAAATGGATGAAAATGTTTTCTATGTGATATCGAAATAATTCAATTTATCGATTTGTATCGAACAAAGTTGAACTTAAGAGATGTAAGAGAGATTATGCTTGTGCCCGTGTCAAAGTGACTATTGTCAACGGGATTTCATCTATTGTAGACATATATCGTCTATTGATATACATATCTTGATGTTAAGATCATGCTGCTAGCGGAAGAAACTGTTAATTGGGTAAAGTATGAATTTTTTATTCTAATTTTCGATGATTTTGAAGGTCAATATTTAGTTTCGAGTAGAAAATTGTCAACTTCTCTTTTTCTGTTCTTTATAACGAATAGAAATTGAGAAAGTACTTATTCTTTATTGAATAGTATACAGGTTACGATTCTCCATTGATTTTTTACTCTATTACTGACGATAAAATCATCAATATATTCTGCAGCAATGACGTACTTTTTATCATAGCATTCCAATTCAGATATGTTCCAGTTTTCATCTTCTTCGAATTAAAGAAACAGTGATATCTGTTTCTACTTTTAGAATTCGGTATTATTTCATTATCGCACATACTTTCATCTATTCAAACCAATATATATCTCAAAAATTTATTTTAAGGTTTTATTCTTTTTTTTACAATGTGGAGATGGAGAATATTCAACATCCTTATATATATACATATTTTTTTATTGCATGAACATTTAGAAGTTTTTCTTCAAAAATAAAAATTCATTTATTTTTTTTTAAATACATTTGACTCAACGAAAATAATTCTCGACTTTTTCCAAGTATTGATGAGACTCGAAAGAACATTGTTCAAAACAAAAAACTATTATATGAAATACAGAGCGAATGTAAAGTTGAATGGATGTGTGTCTTGCCAACTTCTTTTTCTGTTCCTTAAAAGGAATAAACATGAAGAAAGTTCTTGTTCTTCATTGAAAAATACATAGCTAATAATTCGCTATCGATTGCCAATTAACATTCTGACGAGAAAGTCATCAAAACAATCTGCTGGAATGAAGTGGTTTTTATCGTAGTGTTCTAAACAATATTTATTTTCTTTTCATCTTTTTCAAATTAAAAAATATTTATATCTCTATTTCTTTATAATCGATATCATTCGAATATCGAAAATACTTCGATATATTCAAATCAATATAGTTAGTTACTAAAGATTTTTTAAAGGTATCATTTTTCATTGCGGTATCGAGATGGAGAATATTCATTCTCCTTGTACATATATTTTTTTATTGGACAGAGCTTTAGAATTTATTCTTGAATGATGAAAATTGAATTATTTTTTGTTATATGCATTTGACTCAACGGAAAACTATTTTCCACTTTTTCCAATTATTTATGGGAATGTAAACAGCATTGTTCGAAAAATCTGTTATGTGAAATACTGAACGAATGTAAAGTTGTATGTATGGGTGTGTCTTACCGACTTTTTTTTTGTGTTCCTTAAAATGAGTTCTATGAAAAATATATGGATTACGATTCTCCGTTGATTTTTTACCCATCTTCTAACGAGAAAATCATTAGAACAATCTGTCGGAAAGGAGTTGTTTTTGTCTTTTTACATCAAACGATATATATTCCATTTTCATCTTCTTCCAATTAAAAAAAATATTTACATAGGGCAGTCAAAAAGTAGTGGCAATGGTACTTTAGTTCCTTATAAGAAGCTTTAAAAACCTTTCTTTCTATATAGTCTTCGAGAGAAAAGAATGGTCTATTTTTCTATGCTATTTGATTATACTTCAACTAATCTAATGATAATAAATTTTCGGTAAGACTTTTT